GTTTTCTCTTGAGGCATTTTCCCATAGAATACAGAAAGTTCTTTCAAATTCTGTTAGTGGTTTTGCTTTTCTCAGACAATTTAAGGTGCCATGGATCTCACAGATACCCCTCTTAGCTTGATGTTTCCAAAAGTTATAGTGACAGTGGCCTGAGGGAAAGAGAGTGAAAATCACCATGACGACCATCATGGCCTGGTTTCCTGGTACCTGAATGAAGCTCCAACTTGCTGTTAGAGTGGGAATAAAGTAAATGATGAAGAGGAGGAGGAAGGTGGTCACCATTTTCATGGCCCTTCTATGGGCCTCTGTGCTAGAATCCCTGGAGCCCACAAGGTTGAGCTACAAATTCTAGTTGTGCCTCACCAAAGACAGAAATAAAAGGAGCAAAGGGCTCAGGGACAGGAGAAAGGGAATAACATAGGTCAAATTAAGAAGAAGATTTTAAGATAGAACATTTTATTTACATCTAAAGGCAAAGTTGTGTTTCTCTCATGAGCTCTGTAGGTATTCACCCACAACTCACTAAGAGCATCCTGCATTAAGAAGTTAACAGGCAATAAGAAACAAGACCCCAGAAAAAGCATAAGGACCACCCTGTTGACTCTCCACTTCAGCCAGATGAAAAAGAAGTGGGAGAAATTGGCTACCTTAAGGAAATAGAAAATACTTAGATTGGTGGCAAACCAGGCAGTTAAGTGATTAGTTAATGCCCAAAGAATAGTGAACACTTTTGCTAGTTTACCAGTACCACACACATGTGGAACTAGCCCATAATGAGTGAATCCACTAGTGTTACCCACAGTTGAATGATTCTGACCACAGCCAAGCTGGTGAGGATGACATCAGCTGAGGAAACCTTCCCATTCTTGACCCATTCCACACAGTTCACCAGTCCAGTGAACCCATTTCCCAGAATTCCTAAGATGAGTTCTCCTGCTGCCACTACCAGAAAGGCAACCTTCATTCCAGCTGACATCTGTGTAAGCAAGTTTCTAATGTTGTGCCTTGCTGACAGCTTTATGGTGAAACATATGCAGATGAACATCCATTTATGATGCTTTCTGTAAATATTGTCATCATAATTCCCAAAAGTACAACCCAAATTCTACATTGTGATAGAGTTCCAGAGATCTTCACAAAGAATAATTAATTCTGTTTATATTGTAATTCCAGTGGTAAAATGGAACAAGTCCATTAAGGGACACAACATTTCATGAATCCTCATCATATTACTTACTGTCAGCTACCATGTAATTTCCATAATAAACACAAATGGTGTCCACTTCTCTTCACACCCGCTGCAAATTTCCATTTGTGCCACTGACTAAAAGAGTGAAGGCCAGTATATAAACATGTAAATTAGAGAGAGATTATTTTCTAAAACTTTGTACATTCATCTCCTGGAGCCATGCATATAATGCATATACTTTAAATTTTGAATAGTAGTTGTTAAAAAAAACTTTATATAATTCAGTCACTATTTGTTACTCATCAGTAACATCCTTACGCATATCAACTGTTTTTGTTGATATAATTTTCATACAAATTATTTATTGTAATTATTTTTAGTCCAAGCAACAACCAATCCAAGAACAAATAACTTAATGTAGATGGTAAGAAATATTTTAGAAGCTTAATTACAAGTTACAAACAAAGTATTCTGCAAATATGTATGAGGCTACGAAGACTAACATGTAAATTGATTGTGTTTTTTGAAGACCGGAACATTTAATTGGAAAAGAAGAAATATATTTTTAAAAAATATACACATTTCCATGGGAGAGTCTAGACTTCTCTGTATATGAAAATTGAGTTGATTTTCTCTGTTCAACACATTTCTGACTAACACAGTAAGATTAATAAACATTAATATCAACCACTACTCTTGGGTTTTATTATTTCAGTTTTTACATTATAATTGTTCATTACACGACAAGCTTAGAGCTCAACTACCATGAAGGAGAACCCATATGCTCTTCTCTGTGTACCTCTGATCTTGGACTCTCCTTTACAACCACTCTCTGCCATAATCATCAGTAAAACATCAGATAACCATAACAAGCTTCTGCTGGTCTTTGTGAGGAGGAATATACTGTCTGGATAGGTGCTCTCAGTTGGGCCTGTCTGATACAGACAATGTGCACAGAAGATTGTTTCTCATTTGATCCTGTGATATTCAGTTCTTCAAAGTTAACCTGGGAGAATTTACACTTATGAGTACACGTAACAGTAGAAAAAGGAGAGATTTCCTCTGGCAACAACCAAGATATGGGGAATAAATTATCAAAATTATGTTCTAACTGCATCATAGAGCTGTGTAAAGAAGGAGGACCAGTGAACTGAAATCCAGGTAAATGGGGAGTATTTGGATGAACACATGATCTATACATTCAATGCATCACTGTCAATATCAGAAGGCTATGCTGCAGAAAGGGAAATTAATTCTAAAGTGTTTATGGAAATGCAGAGCACTCAAAATAGCCAAAAGAATTTTTAAAAGAACAAAGTTAAAGAATTATAGTTCCTAATTTTAAAACTTACCACGAGGCTCTTTAATCAACATAGTATACTAATTGAACAACAATAGACATATATATCAGCGATTTTCAATGTTTTTGTATCTCATGGAACATATACACTAATTACTAAAATTCTGCACCATGATGAAATAATATCTTTTTTTTTCTCATCGTACAAAGCACAGGTAAAATTTTCACTCATTCCCATTGGACAGATAATGTATTGTCTCTTTTTGACAATCTAAAATATAAGACTTAATGTCAATGACTAAATTGTCAGGTGTCACTGTTTTAAATATTCTTCCACCACACTGGTTGAAAATTATTGATGTTTACCAATGAAACAGTATTGAAGTTTGGTTTTTAACAGTCAGCATCATGGTCAGATGACCATTAAAAAGGTAACAAAGTAATTCAATGGGGAAATGATCTCTCATTTTCCCAACAAATGATGCTGGCAAAATTGAATATCTACACACCTAAGTTCAATTTAGCTCCTTATTTTATACCATATACATATACTAATTTAAAATTGATCAGACATCTCAATGGAACAGATAAACCAATAAAACATTTAAAGTAAGACATAGGAGAAATGTTGTGTGAACTTGGATTAGGTCAACAATTAAAAATAACACCAAAAACATGACGAATGAAATTTTAAACAATAAATTAAACTATATAAATTGCAAACTTTTGCTCTTGGGCTGACTTCAAGGCAATCATGGAAACCCAGTGTTCAAGATGGCATGCTTGCGATCAGCCTGATTCCCAGGTAACTAACTGCATTCAGAGGCTCCTAGGGCACATCAGGACTGTTAGAAAAGCAATACTAAAATCAGGTTATGTATGAGTCACCTTGTGTTAGGGAACACATTTGAAAGAAGTTCATTTCCCCAGTCTTAGGCAGGGATTGGAACTGAGCATGTGCTGTTTTATTTAGAAGCATTTGCAGGATGAAGAAACAAATCCAGGAAACCTGAGCCATCTGCAGATTTTGTGATGGGTTTTGTTGTCACTGGCTTTCCAGCCCTAGTGTAGTTTATTCATCCATTGGTTTAGTCTTCAGAATATCATTTCATGAACTGTCCCATGGGCTGGCTTTTATGTCCTGAGAAGTCAGCAGGAAACAGGGTGGACATCATCCCACATTATGATCCTTATATTCTACTGGGGCAGACAGATGATTTTATAAATAAAATATCAGGTGTAGGAAAGATTTATCTTAAGGTACATATAAGATTGCTAAAACTTCTTATTCTAAGAATAATATAGACACATAAATTCAATTGTTGATTAGGTTAGACATTTCTTATAAAACATTTGCTACCAAATTCATCTCAAAACCCTTTCTATTTCATCATTTCCCACAAGATTTTAATAAAAAAGATATGAAGACATTTTTATCATTATTACATAGATCATAAGTAAACATTTTCACATATTCAGAAATGACATTGACTAACATACCATAGTTTATTACTCTTCTTATATCAAGTATATCTTTAAGATAGGGAAGATTTGATTCTTTCCATCTAGAGTTAAAAAGAACTTTTTAGGTCACAAGATGGAGAAGCTGACTGGCAATTCAGAGGCCAGAAGGTGGTTTAGAGGTAAAAAAAAAAAAAGAATTGAATCAGTGTTCAACTTCAAAAAAGTTCTCCAAATTGAAAAACTGTAAGAAATGACCTTCCTAACTGCACATGGAACTCTAGGCACATTACAAAAAAGTAAAAATCATTCTGTTGTCTTCTTCATCCCTATTATAGAATTTCTTTTTTTTCTAAGCTTTCACCTACTGGTATTAAAATTATTAAACTTAGTCTTTAGTACTATTGATTGTATATGTATATAAAGATATTTTGAATATCTTTATCACTTCTTAATTTCATTACATATATTTTTAACAGTTCTTATTGCCATTTACCATGAAGTAACAATTCAATAGAATAATATCTATCCCAAACATGCATCCTCAATGTGTGATTTAGAATGAATATTCTTACCAATCACAAATTGGAAGTTCAAACAAAACAATCTGAACACCTTCAGGTACTTATGTATGGTAGTAATTGTAATAGAAAATAGGGATGATTCTTGAGATGAGTTTTCAGCCTTTAAATATACCTAAATGTAGAACATAAATTTCTTAATCGCAAGATCAAAAGACAGAAAATATATGTGAAATATGCATGGCTTCATAATTATGAGGAATTTCTTATGTTACTTTGTAAAATTAGATTCTTACATAAAAAAGGAATTTTGTGATTTTATACTCTTTCTTGTATTTTTCACAAACATGCACACATATATATTTTTGTGATAAGCTGAGGTAAATGTTGTTCTAGGTATTCCTTACCAATTTTATACACATTGAGAAATGTGGTAGGATGTAAAAATGTCACAGACTCCATCGGTCTGTTTTCTGCCAGAAGACACATGGTTCTCTACTTATTTCCTTTCTTCCACCCAGCACCTCAGCTACCACGGAAATGACAGAATGGCGTGTCTTAGCTTCCTGTTACCCCAAATCAGGATGAATGAGTGGCTTGCAGAATACAGGAGACCAAGGACCTGAAAAATGCCAACTAAGTTGTTCTGTCGAGCATTCCACTTTGAGATGATTTGAGCGAGGAAGTAAATAAAAAATAGCAAGAGAAACGAGATGACAGTTTGCATGGCTCTTACATGAACCTTGGTGCTGGCATCTTGGGATCCTTTGCCACTGAGCTGCATCTTCCTGAGATGTTTCCACAGGGAAAAGATCAAAAGCAGTAAAGCCATCAGAGACAGGGTAAATGGCATGACATATACAATAGTGAATACAGTATTATGTGAGAGGTGTACAGTTTCCCTCAAGTTGGTCACCCAAGTGCTGTTTCCTTTATATTCATTCATCCCCATTTTTCCTTCTAAGATCACCACTGCAAGGTGACAAACCAAGAAGACCAAGGAGCCCAACAATATCATGAGTACCACTCTTTTAGCTTTCCATTTTAAGTGAAGGAAGAAAAGGCTGGAGAAATTGGCTATCTTGAGCAAATAAAGGATGCTGAGGCTAGTACCAAACCAGAGGCTAAAATGGTTGCTTACTACCCAGGCAATATAAATAATAGTTCTGACTCCTGAACTATAGAAACCTGGATTAAACACAGTTGCATACCAATTTAATAATATTACCCACAGCAAACAAATCCTGGAGACCACCAGGGCAGTGAGAATTCCATCAGCACAGGAGAGCTTTTGTTTCTTGACCCAGTTGATGCCATTCACCAGGGCTATGAAGACATTGGCAAAATTTCCTAGGACAAATTCAGCTATCACTAGGATAGAAAGAATGCTGTCTAATAAGCTTAACATGTCTAGAAAAAACACACCCAAATATGGTATCACTAGTCGTGATTCCTTTAATATTTTGACCTTAAGTTCTATTTGCAGCTTATCTTGAATGTGTATTAAATACTTTTATTTTCTAAAAATTTATGACCAATCTCAAGCATAAAAATACCTAAGTATGGTAATGAAAGAGCTCAGTGCTTTTTTATGAAAAACACTGTTATGCCCCAAACAGCTCAAATTAACTCCTATTCAAATGTTTTATGCCCTGGCTGTAGGCTGGAATATCACATAACTGATGTTGTGGAATATGAATTCTCATTTGCTATCATGCAAATATAGACATATTCACTTTCATCATTTTGCAATGTTCTTTGCTTATCCTCTCCATAATTTGTGTTCATCCACTGTGTCCTTAGTGAAATTTAACATCCCAATACATTGAATATATGGTAACTGCTAACTTGCTCAATAGATCTTGGTCATTTGGATATGGTCATAGTTCAAAGAAGCACTGGTCATTATTGTAGGATCATCACCACTATGGATATTTTCTGGTTTTTATTCAATTAGGGTGACATTGGCTACTAAAATTATGTAGGTTTCAAGCATGCAATTCACTTAGTTAATTCACATTTTATTGATTATGCTATCACATTTTCCCACTTTCTTCTCCCTTTTATTTCCCTCCACCATGCACCCTGCCTTCCACCAGCATTCCTCATTTTAGTTCACATCCATGAGTCATACATAAAAGTTCTTTGGCTTCTCCATTTCCTCTACTATTCTTTACCTCCCCTTGTCCATTTTGTACCTACCATTTATGCTTCTTATTCCCTGTACCTTTTTCCCCATTCTCCCCCACCCCCACCCCATTGATAACCCTCCATGTGATCTCCACTTCTGTGACTCTGTTCCTGTCCTAGTTGGTTGCTTAGTTTTTTTTTGTTTTTAGGTTCAGTTGCTGCTAGCTGTGAGTTTGTTGTTATTTGGCTATCCATACTTTTGATCATCTTCCTTTTCTTAGATAAGTCCCTTCAACATTTCATATAATAAGGACTTGGTGATGATGAACTCCTTTAACTCAACCTTCTCTGGGAAGCACTTTACATGCCCTTCCATTGTAAATGATAGCTTTGTTGATTAGAGTAATATTAGATGTAGGTCCTTGCTTTTCATGATTCTGAATACTTCTTTCCAACCCTTTCTTGCCTGAAAGGCTTCTTTTCAGAAATCAGCTGATAGTGTTATGGGATCTCCTTGTACATAAGTGTCTCCTTTTCTCTTGCTGCTTTTAAGATTCTCTCCTTATGTTTAATCTTGAGTAATGTAATTGTTATATGCCTTAGTGTGTGCTTCTTTGGGTCCAACTTCTTTGGGACTCACTGAGGTTCCTGGACTCTATGGAACTCTATTTCCTTTGCCAGATTGGGGAAGTTATCCTTCATTATTTGTTCAAATATATTGTCCTTCATTATTTGTTCAAATAAGTTTTCAATTTCTTGCTTTTTCTCTTCTTCTTCTGACACCTATATGATTCAGATGTTGGAGAATTTAAAGTTGTCCCAGAGGTTCTTAAGCCTCTCCCCATATTTTTGAATTTCTGTTTCTTCATTCTGTTCTAGTTGAATGTTTATTTCTTCCTTCTGCTTCAAATTGCTCACTTCAGTCCCAGTTTTTTCCCTTCACTGTTGGTTCCCTGCATATTCTTCCTTATTTCACTTTGCATAACCTTCACTTTTTCCTCTATTTTGTGACCATACTCAACCAGTTCTGTGAGCATCCTGATTACCTGTGTTTTGAATTCTGCATCTGATAGGTTGGCTACCTGTTCATTGCTTAGTTCTATTTTTGGAGCTTTGATCTGTTCTTTCATTTGGGTCATTTTTCTTTGTCTTGGCACAGCTGTTGGGTTGTAAGGGGTGGAGCCTTAGGTATTTGCCAGGGTGGGGCAACATGTGTCACTGCTTTATGGGACTGTATATGGGGGATGGGTCAGAGAGGGAACAATGTCAGCTTTCAGTCACTTCCCCTGCTGCCCACAAACAAATTGGGCCTTTCTGTTGCTGATTCCCAGGCGTGTGGGTTTGTACACACTTTACGGCCCTCAGGGTCTCTCCAACAAACTCTCCTGTGGGGCTGGGAGTTTCTCCTGCCACTGCCACCACCACACCTTTTTACAGCCAGAGGCTTTGAGCCTTTCCTTTCCCACCCTGGAACCCTGGATGGTACAATCTGTCTCACTCACCACTTTTTCCTCCCAGGCTGCCAGCTGCTGCCTCACTGACCCAGTCCTCCAGCCACCACCTTGCCCCCTGTCTTCTCCACCCTGACTGCCCATCTCACCCTCTCCTACCATTCTGAAGGCTGTATCTTCTCTAACTCCTTGGTTGGACTTTCATACAGTTCTATTTTCTAATAGTTCTAGTTATTTTTGTTTTTAAATCTGTTCTTGTCCTCCTTTTGGTTGTGCAAGGAATCAAAGTGTATCTACTTACATCTTGCCCAGAAGTCCCAAGCATACAATTCTACCATTATGATGTACATATTTTATTGTGGGTTTACTACCCAAAGTCAAGTGTCCTTCCATCACCATTTGCTCCCCTTTTTGTTTTTGTTTTTCATGTCAGACTTACAAAGTAAGAATTCAAGCATTTCCTATGAAATCATCAAGGTTTTCTTGAGAACCTCAGCATGGCCAATGCTCGCTATGTCTGGTTCCTGATGATTTACATTTAAGAATAATTGTATTGTTTATAAAAGCATAAGGACACAAATATACGCACACATATCTTATGGATGGAAGATTTTATTGTCCCATAAGTTTCAAAATAAAAAATGAGTGTCACTACGGTATCTTCTTCAAGCTCATCTTTTATTTTGTTATTTCATTATTAATAGATATCAAACATATCTCTCATGTTAGGGCTTTGATGAAGTTTCTTTCCCCTTTGAGTCTATTTTTTATTTAAATATTAATTATTTAATTAAAATGTTCAGAAATCTTAGAAATATTTTGTGGAAACTTCAAATTACATGCAGTTTCCACCCCTTGCTGCTGTGGTTCAATGTACTGAGCCCCCCCACCCCCCGCCTGCTCCGTGGGTCCTGTGGTCGCTGGCTTCATTCTAGATCAGGGCTCATGCCTGGGTTGCACACCATGTCCCCAGGTGGGCATCATGTGACAGGCAGTGTTTTTGGCCTCGTATGGCAATGTTTCTGTCTGTCTCTTTCCATTCCCCTCTCTTTAGACATGAATAAATAAAATCTTTTTAAAAGAAGAAATATATTTTTAAAAAATATACACATTTCCATGGGAGAGTCTAGACTTCTCTGTATATGAAAATTGAGCTGATTTTCTCTGTTCAACACATTTCTGACTAACACAGTAAGATTAATAAACATTAATATCAACCACTACTCTTGGGTTTTATTATTTCAGTTTTTACATTATAATTGTTCATTACACGACAAGCTTAGAGCTCAACTACCATGAAGGAGAACCCATATGCTCTTCTCTGTGTACCTCTGATCTTGGACTCTCCTTTACAACCACTCTCTGCCATAATCATCAGTAAAACATCAGATAACCATAACAAGCTTCTGCTGGTCTTTGTGAGGAGGAATATACTGTCTGGATAGGTGCTCTCAGTTGGGCCTGTCTGATACAGACAATGTGCACAGAAGATTGTTTCTCATTTGATCCTGTGATATTCAGTTCTTCAAAGTTAACCTGGGAGAATTTACACTTATGAGTACACGTAACAGTAGAAAAAGGAGAGATTTCCTCTGGCAACAACCAAGATATGGGGAATAAATTATCAAAATTATGTTCTAACTGCATCATAGAGCTGTGTAAAGAAGGAGGACCAGTGAACTGAAATCCAGGTAAATGGGGAGTATTTGGATGAACACATGATCTATACATTCAATGCATCACTGTCAATATCAGAAGGCTATGCTGCAGAAAGGGAAATTAATTCTAAAGTGTTTATGGAAATGCAGAGCACTCAAAATAGCCAAAAGAATTTTTAAAAGAACAAAGTTAAAGAATTATAGTTCCTAATTTTAAAACTTACCACGAGGCTCTTTAATCAACATAGTATACTAATTGAACAACAATAGACATATATATCAGCGATTTTCAATGTTTTTGTATCTCATGGAACATATACACTAATTACTAAAATTCTGCACCATGATGAAATAATATCTTTTTTTTTCTCATCGTACAAAGCACAGGTAAAATTTTCACTCATTCCCATTGGACAGATAATGTATTGTCTCTTTTTGACAATCTAAAATATAAGACTTAATGTCAATGACTAAATTGTCAGGTGTCACTGTTTTAAATATTCTTCCACCACACTGGTTGAAAATTATTGATGTTTACCAATGAAACAGTATTGAAGTTTGGTTTTTAACACTCAGCATCATGGTCAGACGACCATTAAAAAGGTACCAAGGCAATTCAATGGGGAAATGATCTCTTTCATTTTCCCAACAAATGATGCTGGCAAAATTGAATATCTACACACCTAAGTTCAATTTAGCCCCTTATTTTATACCATATACATACACTAACTTAAAATTGATCAGACATCTCAATGGAACAGATAAAGCAATAAAACTTTTGGAGTAAAACATAGGAGAAATGATGTGTGAACTTGGATTAGGTCAACAATTAAAAGTAACACCAAAAGCATGATGGATAAAATTCAAAACAATAAATTAAACTACATAAACTGCAAACTCTTGCTCTGTGATATAAATCTCTGATTTCAAAAATGTACACCTGTAGTAATTAGCTCAATATGATATGGTTGGTGTGTATACAAATAGATTACTAGATATAACAGAATGTTTAATAATAGACCCACACATGTGTGGTCAGTTCATTTTCAGTGAAGAAACTGGAACAATTCAATGGGAAATAAAATGCTCTTCATAAATGATGCTGGGAAAGTCAATAATAGTATAAAAAATTAATTTCGATACTTATGTTACAGGGATACAACCAAGTC